AGAGCTCTGTTCCTCAGAGCAGACATCAGGCATGTTGGTTCCAAGTTTCAATTTGGACCAAAGGATAAAGAAACCAAGATCTCCCGGACGTTCAGGTTTGACAGGAGCTACAGGCTTTTTCGCTTTTGGGAGCCAACTACCCCAAATTCCATTGTGTCACGGTACAGATTAAAGAAGGAATCCTTCCTCCAGGGAGCAATCCCTGGCCTCACTGCTTCCTCGCTCGAGGTGATGTGAAACTGTGTGAGAGGACTGACCCCCCCCGGCTGTCTGTGACCTTTCCCTAACCCCCACGCAGGGACAGAACCCGGTCTGGAGAAGAGCAGGACAATCGAATCAGAGACGAGACGGTGAGAGAGCAGACCCGAAAAAGCCAGCGACCCACAATCCTGAGCAGCAGGCACACAGCAGGACCCAGGGTTTCTCACCTGCAGACCCGGGCTGGGAGCAGTTCAGCTCCAGACCCGCTGAGATCACCCCTCCCAGCGCCGACTGATCCCCCCCCCACCCCAAAATCCACCAAGAGCAGCACTTCCTGTGGCTGAACCGGGAGGACAGGATGCTCACTTACTGTGCCGTGCAGTGATTCCTCTCTCCCTCCCTTTCCGTTTCCCCGGCAGCCTGGTGTCCGCACCCCCTGCCCTCTACTGGGCCGCCGCCGCGCAGGAGCTCGATAAAGAGATCCGATTTCTATCGAACCCGGCTGTCCTTCTCTGCCACCGGAGCCGTCACCTGACTGGCAAGAGCGAGGAGTTCCTGTCCTGTGTCATCTCTCCCAGCTCTGCCCCTATCTCTTGCTCTCTCGGTTTTGCATGCCGTACCTTCGAAGTCACGCAAACCTGCCTGACAGGTCAGTCCTCTCTCTGTCTGCTGAGATCTAACCCTGCATTCCTCCCCGGCCCTTTGTCTGCAGGAACAATGGGCACAAACTTCCTGCTCTGCCCCTCTCTGACACACACGTGCGCACCGAGAGACAGGCCGACGCACATAAACACAGGGACACGGGCACGTGCAGACAAACTCACACAGACCCACACAACGACACGCATACCCAAAGACTGGCACACAGACCCACACAACAACACGCATACCCAAACACTGGCACACAGACCCACACAACAATGCATACACATGCCCAAACACACACAGACCCACACAGCAACACACATGCCCAAACACATACACAAACAGACCCACATGCCCAAACACTGCCACACATACCCAAACACTGCCACACAGACCCACACAACAACACATACCCAAACACTGCCACACAGACCCAAACAACAACACACATACACAAACACTTGCACACAGACCCACACAATGAGAAATGGGCACACCCACACACACAGACCCACACAATGACTTATAAACAGACACAGACAGACTCGTACAGCAGAACTGCAGACAGAGACACGCACAGATGCACACAGACTCAGACAACGCTTCACGTACGCCAGGAGTTCCCAGCACTGCTCTGATGCACCTCGGGGACTTCTGCTTTCTGCTCCAGCTGGGCTCTTGCTCACAGGCGAACTGCTTTCACTTTCCTGCCGGGGTGTTTTAGGAAAATGTGTTTTCTGCCCTTAAGTTGCGGAGCGCCGACAACTCTGTGCCGGTCTTGGGGCTTCAGAGCTGCCCTGATGGAGGGCTGCTGCCTGAGAACTACAGGCCCTCTGCAGGAGGATGGGGCCTCTGTGCGGGACATCGCCCTTCCCAGCTGCCTGTGCACCAGAGAGCTGCTCAGGTGCTGCTGAGCGACACCTGTCTGCCCCGTCACAGGCCTGTTCCCTCCCCATCCAGAAATCCTGAAAGACCCTCGATCCAGCTCCCCCCGGCGTGGACGAGAGCTTTTAATGCTCTCCCTGGGCACTGTCCTGAACCCCAGTGGGGCGTGGTGTGATCAGGGCATCAGGTCTGCCTCGGGAAGGGAGACCCCTGTCGCAACGGGCCCCAGGAGAATGTCAGGATCAGGATTGCTCCACCAGGAAGGTTAACTTTCCCATCAGAAACGGGAATTCTGGGTACACCAGGACCACAGCCACCTCTGCTCTCTAAGGAAACCCCTTTGTTAACCGAAGAGTTTAATGAGCCCTTTCCCTCTAGCCCCGTCTGCTGCTCGCTGCAGGCCGGTGGCTCGTCTCGCAACGCCGCTGTCATGCTGGCGGAGCGACGAGGCGGCACTGGGCCCAGACCGACGGCTCGAGCTAGGCGGGAACCCCCCGGTCCCAGCCGAGAGGCCCAGGCGGACGCCGCCCATCGACGCCAGGGTCCTCGAACCCCCCCTCCCAAAACCACAGGGGGCAGAAAGAGCAATCCTCACCTTGTCTCCCGCTGCGCCCCGTGTCTTGGCCCGCCGCACGAAGAGCCGCTGCCTCCTCTCCGTCTCGAGATGTTCTGCCGTCACACGAATTGGCGCCAGAACGCGGCCGTGCTCCGCAGTCAGTTTCCTGTGCGCTTGGGGGGAGGGTGCTGGGCACGGGCGGCCCTGCGGCTCAACAGAAGCCTGCCCCCGTTTCGTCAGCTCCACACACTTCCTCTCCACCCCCCCACCACCACCCACTTCCCCTGGTGCTCGCCACCTGCGAGACGCGCAGCCTCGTCTCTCGTCTGGCACCCGGGCTGGGCCGGGTCCGGACCGCCAGCGCCTCCGCTGAAGAGAGGGACACAGCGCTTGCGCTCAGAGCAGCTTTGCTGCTCCTCTTGAAAAGGGATGCTACAACACCCTCCCCGAAATTAAGAAACCCCAAAACCCACCAGGAGCTCGTTTCCCCCCCCAACACACACACACGCTCAGCTTCTCAAGAGCAGGCAGGCGAAACCCATGCGGAGGAAGTGGCTGCTCAGAAGCTGCCCTGCCTCCTCGCTCCCACGCTGGAGTGGCAACAGCGAAGAACCTCGAGCTCCCATTTGCTCCCCCTTCCCTCCGTCGACTCACGGACACGGACTGGGCGCTGGTCTCGACAGGGCGACACCCCCGGCGCGGCCCGTCCTCTGAGACCGCTCCCCCTCAGCCGCCGTGAGGCGGGAGTTTAAGGCGATCCGGCAGCTCATTGGGAAAGGAAACAGGTGGGAGCTCTGTCAGGGGCTTCTTCCTGTAGAGGAGCGCTCTCCATCCCACCCTCCCTCCCCACCCTCCCTCCTCCACGAGAGCCACCCTCATCCGAATGTCTGGCTCGCTCAAGATCCAATCCAGAATTTTTGACCGGGCAATACGCAGCGATCCCAGCAGCCCTGCGGGTGCCGGCAGCTCGCTCCTCGTCCCCTCCATGGAATTTCCACCAAGCCGGGAATGAGCCCTTGCAGGCTGATCGCCTGGCTTCCTTCCTTCAAGGAATGGCTGAACATGATCCCAGAATCCAGTGGCTACTGTCTGATGGGCGACATGGGCCGTCGGGCCTGGTGTCCAAGAACAGCAGGCATGACGCCCCCCCCGGAGGGTGGTGGGAACTGGGAACCAGCTGCCCTCGGCCATGCTGCTGAAGCCGCTATCCCTGGAAGGACTGGATGACACCCAAGGAGCAGCGAGCTAGGAGCGGCCCACGCAGATGACCGGCCCCCTCGTTCGCCACGAGGACGTGACCTCTGACCCACGAGGCCTCGGGTGACACACCCTTAAGGAACTGGCTGCGCTGTGAACGAGGCCATGAGCAGGCAGGGCTCCTCAGCACCGAGACTCGACCCATGTCCCAATTTGGGGTTCTTATGGAAACCGGGGTGGCCCAGAAATGGCCAAGAACCCCCCTCCACTCCCACCCCGACACCCCCCCCCATCCACAACCACGCTCGGACAGCCCGACAAACAAACGTGCAAGCAGGGAGTCTACAGTATTAAAAAATGAGCACATCACTTTGTGACTTTTATTTTTGCTGTTGTTTTGTAAATAACCACATTTTTTTTCCTTTAAATCTTCCCCCCCCCACTTTTTTTTTCTTCTTTAAAGAGTTTACCAGCTAAAAAAAAAAACAAACAAAATTACAGAAAACTCAAAATTCAGCACGGGGGGGAGGAGAGAAAAAACCCAAAGGCTGGCTATACTTACAGCGGTACAAGCGTCAAAATAAAAAATTCTTCTTCTCGATAAAAAAAGACTCTCATCAAAAAGATGAGAAGGTCTTTTTTCTTTCTTAATATTTATATAGTTTACAAAAAAGGGAAAATATACCTTCAGATTATTGTGGGCGAGGATAGGAGGGGGAAAAAAAAGTCCACTACAGTACTCTGGTGTTTTTATATATATATACAAGACAAGTTTTATCCATTTAAATTCTTAGAACACAGTACAAAAAGAAAAATTCACTGACAAAAACCATAATACAAGTCTGTCCATATCAATTACGGTTTAGATTCCTAATAATAACAGGGATACAGAAAGGGCAGGGGTGTGGAAGCTCTATAAATATATATGCTCATACCTATAGAACCCCAGTCAATTTTGCCAATTCAAACTTCACACAAGAGAATGGGGGGGAGGGGGTATTTCTTTAAAAAAATAAATCAAAACACACACAAGAATAAATTCATGTTGCTCAGGGGAGAGAGAGAGGAAAAAAAAAGAGTCAATGATTTGGTTACTGTGAACAGTGGTTTAAGCACAACACGAGGGGAGAGACACACAGGGGTGGAGGGGGGTGTCTGTGTGTGTGTGGGAGGGGGCGGGGAGGACAGGAAGAAATATAAAAGATGCAAATAATCTCCCCCCCCCCCCCCCCCCCCCCCCCCCCCCCCCCCCCCCCCCCAAAAAAAAAAAAAAAAAAAAAAACCCCCCCCCCCCCCCCCTCCCATCTCCTGTCCCTGCCCTGCCAAAGGAAAAAAAAAAACAGTAAACGAAAAACAGTCTATTTTACATATGACATACAAGTCAGAGTGAAATAATACATAAAGCTCCACTCTCTCGCTAGTTCTGCACTCTTGCACTTTTAAATTTAAGGAGGTCGCCCGTTTCGGACCCCCCCCCCTAAAAAAAACGTTCCTGCATCCCTCCCCCTCCTCACTCGTACTGCAGGTGGCACCCCCGTGTGGCGAGAGGGGGAGCTGCACACAGCCCCCCAGGGAGAGAGGGGAGGGGGGCACGGGGGCAGGGGATTCAGCCGGGGAAGGTGGGTGCGATGCGGGCAAGCCCTCCGTCACAGGGTCACGGGGTCAGAGGGCGGGGCTGCGGGGGCGTCAGTTGGCCCCCCAGTTGTAGCTGCTGTAAGCCGACTTGTTGACCTGCGATTTCTGCTGGATGGACGTCCCCTGGCTGCGCTGGCCAGAGCCGCTCTGGAAAGAGGGAGAGGGAGACGGGGGTGAGGACCGTGGCCAGCAAAGAAAAAAAAACAGGCTGGCTGGTCAGAGGAGACCAGCAGGGTCAGCACGGCCACCCCCGTGGGACGGACCGAGCCCAGATCTGCTCAGGGCTACAGGGCCTGACCTCTTCTGCCCTCTGTGTGCCCGACAGCGGCCTCTCTCCTGGTCTCCTCTATGGCCAGCCTATCCACAGCCCTGGAGACTCTCTGTGGTCATTAACAATCCCAGTTTCCCGAAAAGAGTAGGGGTGTCACCCCAGTGTCCTGGCCAGATTTCCCCCTGGCCTTTACCAGTCAGGGCCTCCTGATAATCCCCCTCTCTGAACTGGCTCCATCACTCTGCTCTCCTCCCCACTGAGAGCTGGTGTGTGGGGAGAGGACTGGTGCATCATCCAGGTGGGGCTGCACACTGGTGGCAGTGGAGGGGATCCCCCATGACCTGTACAGCGCTGTGAGTGGAGTGTCCAGGAGTTATTTACCCTGCTGTCTAATTCATCCCCACCCCCCCCAGTGCCCAGCGGGCCTCACCTGTCCGTCCTGCTGCAGGTGGTGGTGCAGGATCTGGGAGTGCGGCTGCTGGTGGGGCGTCAGGATGTGCATGAAGGGGGCAGGGGGGTACCCGGCGGCCGCGGGGGGGTTCATGGGGCCCCCGCTGCCCAGCGCCGACGGCAGGCTGAAGGAAGCAGCCGGCGTGCCGGCGTGGAACCCCTGCTTGTCGAACGACTGCCGACGAGGGAGCGGGAGAAGACAGGGAGACAGGAGGACGAAACTGGTGAGCTTTAATTCAGCTGGGGAGGAGGCTTGAAGACCCACACTAATACTGGGAACTCATTTCAGCACTTCAAGGCTGGCCAGCTCGTGACAGGAACGCCGCCGCTGTGGAATCGCTGTAGGGGACTAGGAGATCAGATGCATTAAGGAAACACCTGACGGGCCGAAAGATGTCAATCTATTTTGTCTCAAACAGAGAAGAGAACGAGATACGATTCAGATATTCAAAACACCCGGGAGGCACCGACAGGAAATCCAATCAGTTAAGTAGTGTAACATGAGCCAGAGGACAAAAGTGAAACTATAAAGGGCATTTTACACAGACGGTGGTGGGTGTCTGGAACAGGCTACCCAGCCACGTTAAAACCCACATCCTGACTTCTTTCAAGAAACCGGTAGAATTGGCAGATTAATTAGCTACTTTACTAACGGGCTGGGTGGGCTGAATTAGCCCCCTCTCATTTGTAACCTTTATGTTAATACACTACAGCAGAAGTGCCTGGCTTTAGCCCTCAAGGGGGCGCTGTCCAGCAGGTTTAATAGGTCTCTTTAAACTGCTGGCCTCTTGAGAGCAAGAAAACGCTCCGACTTGCTCAGTTTAAGGGGAACTGAAGCAGTGTTCTCATATTTCAGGGTGGGAGTCAGCAACGATGAGATCAATTTAAAACCAATAAAAGTAAGAGGTATACAGCAAAGTGTTAAACCTCCGATTTACATCACAAAATCGATGGCTTTTCGAGGTACGTGCAGCACCACGTTCCGCAAATCAGAACGAGGCAACAAAACTTCCAGTGATGTGGAGCAGCTGTTTTACACTGTAAACAAGCAGACTTGTGAAAACATCTCTTTCAATCCAAAAGAAATATGGCTCTCGTCTTCGAAACTGTTTTGTTGACAAATACGACGATGGAACATTTGAGGCAAAACGTCTGCTGCCCAACCTGTCCTTATTTGCTTGCACATCACAGTACATCAGTCATGGCAGGGACTAGTGAGCAGGAAGGGCCACAGTCCCCCTTTAAGTGAGCGACTTCAACGAGGCAGTCCACGGCCCAAGCGGAAGGAGACCCAGAGAGCCAGGATGGGAACAGCGCCCCCTGCTGTACATTAGACCGGAGCAATCTGTAAGGGAACCGGGCGCAGATCGCACTGCCCGTAACGAGGTGCTCACCTGCGTCTTCGTGTAAACGGACCCGGAAATATCAGGAACTCCGGTGTTGCTGGACGTCACAGAAACTCCTGCAGCAGGGAGACAGGGGAAGACGCAGGGTTACTTCGGCTTCTTCGGCCATCAAGAGAAGCCCGTGCCCCTACTCCAGAACGACCTTTGCTTGCCTAACTGAACCGATAACCGCCCCCAGACTCCTCACTGCGGCAGCTGGCTATGGAGCCCGGGAGCCCCGACATCGCCCGAGAGGCGCGGAGGGCCATGCACAGACCCAGCAGCAGCTGTCCGGTTTCTGTCGCACACACTGCCCCAGGGCCCCCACCATTGCTACGGGCCAGATGGTGTGCAGGGTTCTGCCCAGGCACACAGGCAACCCCCCCACCCTCCAGACTCCTGCAGGGAGCCAGGGGAGGTACCAAACCACAGGTGCTGCGCAGTGCACTGGTGCTGTAGCCGCAGGGTCAGGACACACAGCACTGCAGCACTGGCCCAGTACAGGGACGTCTGCAGGGGCACATCACCACTCACAAAGATGGAACCGCTGCTGACGGCTTGTTGGCTACGAGGAGGACAGACTGTTCTCAAAGGTACCGCCTGCTGGGGTTCAGGGTTTCTGCCACACCTCCTTGCTGCCATCCCCCCCCCAGGTACGACCGCGCCATTTTAAAACACCTTCCACACGGCACGCCGCAGTACGAGGGCGACAGAGGGGCGCGTGCGCATCGAAACGGCTCAGCCACGCGGCTCACTGGACACAGACCCCCGGACAGCGCCGCTCACTCAGCGGCTCCGGACTCGGAGACCAAGGCCTCCTCCTGGACAGAGCCACTCTCCGCCAGTACATTCCCAAAGAGCTCCCAGCGCATCAGGACTGCCTGGAGCAGTCTCTCTAAAACGTTACCAACCAATAACTCTGAAAGCCAGAGAAGACTGGGCTTTTCCGTTATTAATGCAAACCCGACACAGAAATGGTTATTTTACAACCTTTGCAGTTATGAAAATTAAAGCAGCGCGCCTCTGGATCACCGTTTTCTCCATGTTCATAAGACATTCGGGAAATTGCTGTGTAAAGCAGTTTTGACAAACTGGTTTGTGCCAGCAGAGGGGAAGAGGAGAAACGAGGAGAGGAGACCATGCACAGCACAAAAGACCACCCAGCCATGCAAGAGCTGTGAGAGGGGGGAGGCAAGCGAACAGCGGGAGGGGGCAAAAGAGGCAGAAAAGTGCGATGAACAGAGGGAGAGTGGGAAAGCCAGAAGAGACAACTAGAAAGCTCGGTCAGGGTGATATGAAGGAGACGAAATTAGGAAGAAGGTGGGTGGACCGAGGAGTGGGTGTGGCATGCACAGAGGGGGGTGGGGCCAAGTGCATGGGGGCGTGTTAGGGTGGAGCTAGAAAGGGGAGTGACATGCATAGAGGAGGTGGGGCCAAGAACAAGGGGGCATGTTAGGGTGGAGCTAGAAAGGGGAGTGGCATGCACAGAGGGGGCGGGGCGTGTAAGGGTGGAGCATGCGCAAAGGAGTGGAGCATGTATAGGGGACAGGACACCATGCTAACGGGGCGAGGAGGAGTGGGGGGTATCTGGCGCGGAAGCGCGGTGGGGGAGAGGAGGAGGAGGAGGAGCGCAGCAGGGGCACTTACCCACTCCGGGCCCCGTGACGGAGCTGGCGGGCTTGTTTTGCGCAGAAGCGGCGGCGGCGGCAGCAGCAGCGGCGGCGGCGGCGGCGGCGGCAGCGACAGCAGTGCTATATCCACCCTTACAGAAATCCCCACTCCCAGAGGCCTGGCCCAAATCCTCATAGCCTGCAATCAGACACAGCCACAGCCCGCAGCGTTAGACAGGGGAGGGGGGGCGGGGGGTGCGAGGACTGACCAGGGCCAGGCGCAGAGTGAAAGGGTGCAGGAAAAGTGCGGAGAGGGACAGAGGGACCCGCTGGACACAAAAATAATATATATGGACATATGCAGACATATATACATATATATATATGAGAATCGCAGAAGCCAGCCAAGAAGCAAGATTCACAAAGGTTCTAGAAATACACCAAAAAAAAAAAGAAGTCCTGGGGAATTCTGGCGCACGAGCCAACGAATTCGATGCCGTTCGGCCAAAACGAATCTGCTGTCCGAGATAAAGGAAGCGAGTTCCTCAGTCCTCTCCGGGAAGAGGCCGCCCGAGTCGAGCCCCACACCCGTCCCCGCCCCACGTCGACTAGCAGGTAGTGAGTGCTCCCTGCATCCCATAGACTCTCCTAAAGCCCCGAAATATTCTCACACACCCCTCCCCGCCCAGGATCGCTGTGCGGCAGGATGCAGGGTGCGAACACAAGCAGATGGCTCTCACTAGAGCCCCGGAACAAAGACGCGCATGGTTCTCGTGTCAACACCCCCCCCACGCTGTACAGGAGAATCGCGCTACATCAATCAGAGTCAAATGCTGCAGAAAAAAATTCTAGCTGTTTTTTAAAACCAGTGATGGCACACGTGTTGGACTGAGCCCTTGGCTGCTGTGATGTCCTGAAGGGGGCGCTCTCACATAGCTGCAGCCCTGAGCTAACCTGTCCTGAAGAGGGCGCTCTCACTGGGGCTGCAGCCCTACTCTACCCTGCCCTGAAGAGGGCGCTCTCACTGGGGCTGCAGCCTTGTGCTACCCTGCCCTGAAGGGGGCGCTCTCACTGGGGCTGCAGCCCTGAGCTAACCTGTCCTGAAGGGGGCGCTCTCACATTGCTGCAGCCCGACCCTGCCTTGAAGGGGGCGCTCTCACTGGGGCTGCAGCCCAACCCTGCCCTGAAGGGGACGCTCTCACATAGCTGCATCCCTGAGCTAACCTGCCCTGAAGGGGGTGCTCTCACTGGGGCCGCAGCCCTGTGCTAACCTGTCCTGAAGGGGGCGCTCTCACTGGGGCCGCAGCCCGACCCTGCCCTGAAGGGGGCGCTCTCACTGGGGCCGCAGCCCGACCCTGCCCTGAAGGGGG